TCAGCAACTGTAATATGTCAGGTGATACAATACAGTCAAGATGCTCAAAATTGACTTGACTCTACTTCCCAAGTATTCCTAGAACAATACGATGGAATCACAAATAAGCAAAAAAAAAAGCCAAAACAAAACAAACAAACAAACAAAAAAACAAGAAGAAGCAAGAGTAAATCTCTTGGTAGAAAATAAGTGTTCCAATTCAATTCACAAAAAACCTATCGAGCTAATTTTTAAAAGTAACCACTGCTAAGAACACATGATAATCACACCCAATTTACAGAGAATGCTCTGAGTTTAGGCTGGCTTTCAAGTCCTTTGTAAAACAAGTGACTTTCCTTTTTTACTTTCCTAGTCATCTAAATCATCTTGACTTTGGATATATAGAGTCTTCTTGATTAAACAAAATGCATGCATACACACAATCAATAAATAGCCTCTGCACATTGGGAAGATGTATCTGTAATGGGATCCAGCAACTACCCGCCATATTTAATTTAGTATCTGTAGAGTGCTCTATTTAGCAGTACAACTTAACCACTGCAGTGGTAAAGAATGCTAGGGCTGGTTTCATAAACAAGATATTGTTGTCTTCAAGCCTAGGATCTTCTTAGAGGTAACTTAAAAAAATCCTATGTGATTTCAGTATTCAGGAAAATGATTAAAGAAAAATCAAATGGAGTTTCAAGGCCCATTCTGCTCTCTAAGTAATTCTATGGTGAAGAAACCAACCGCCATACAGCGGTGAAATACTCGTTGGTTCTTTTTCTACTATTTAACCTTCCTTGTAAACAAAATAAAACAGACTTTGGCTCAGCTGAGTTTTACAATCTGTAGTATGAGCTCAACCAATAATATATAAAATTTGTATTTCAGGTAACTGTCACTCAGTGATTCCAAATATTTAATAAACATTGGATAGTATAGTCTGTTGATTTTCATAAATTCTCTAAACAAAAGTTGAAGACTGACAGCTCATATATTGAATCTGTCCCTCAGTATGTTTAATTTGGCAAATACACTATTGACCTTTAAAAAATCTTAAAATTTGCTTTAAAAATCTAGGTTTTCCAGTACCTTGAAAAGCAAGATTTTTGGGCTAGCGTCCTTGCAGAATAACAACAGCTACCTGCTTTACATGAGGCTGGAATGAATTGTATTAACAACTTCCTGTTATAATGGAGAGAAAAAGCTACTCATTTCTATTATTTTTCCCCTAGCACATGTCTTTTTCCTTGGTGGAGGTCTGCAGTGGGGGAACTGCTAACTACAATTTCTATTGTTTGTGAATCCATTTCTGGGAAGCTGTAGGAAAATTTTTATTTCACTCTTGTTTCAATGTTAATACTAATTTTATTCTCTTGTACAAATCAGTTTTTCTTTTTTATGAGTCCTTTTTATAATTGTGAAAAACCTTCAAACTCATTATGTTTCTCTCTTTGTAACAGCATCTTAGAATTTAGAGCCAAATTTATGGATCATTTTTCATGATATGTAGTTGTTTGCACCAATCACACTCTCAGATTTATTTACATTACTAATCTGTATTCTGCCTTCGTTTACATCTTTCCTCTTTATAACCTTTAATACTTCCTGGTTACAGCTTAGATTATTTCTGGAAATGATCAGAAAGCTAAGTAAATAAATAAACAGACTAGTGTACACAAGAAAATTTGGAAAAGAAATAACATATTGTATATTTAAAATTATCTAATTTAGGAAACAGGTTTTTAGCTTAAATAAAATTGAATAGCATATACCAAATTCTACACCATATTTCCATTCTTCTGCCCATCTTTTATTTCTTCAGGAATC